ATCTTGAATGGCTTTTTTATTACCATCTTCAGCTTTTACAATCTGGCGATATAAGTTAAGAAAATCAACTGACTCAGGATTATTTTCACCGGTAGGTACTGAACTTGACTGTGTAATAATATTTTCTGTAGAATCTAAAATTTCGGTATTCAACTCATCAATTAATTTCTTTAGATTTGTAGGTTCTTTTTTTATACCTTCTTTACGTAATCTTTTTTTTAGATTTTGGTTTAACAGTTTGGGTTCGTTTTGTATAGTCTTGAAATAATAAGGGATCCAATAAGGTGCGGTTAGAAATATGTGTTGTATCTGAAGTTACTATATTCTGGCTCTGATTGAATGCTATTTGTGCTATTTGTAGTGAAATTTGCATTAGGTTCAAGGTACTTTGCTCAGAAGTGCCAGAATGTACATAATCAATAGATTCAATTTCCATTGCACATTTAGAGCATTGTAGGAGATTTTTTACATAATCCTCAAGACAACTACGGTGGTATATATGTTCACAGACGAGTATGATAAATGGTTTTTTAAGTTCGTACAAAAAAGCTCTTCTTTACACCTTGAGCATGGGTCTAGTTCTGGAACTCCAATATCTTTTGCAATAGCATCTGGTAAGCTATTCTTAAGAATATTCAATGCAAGAGTTTTGAGACATAAAATATTTTTCGGAGTTGGGTTAGTAGACATATTCAAAAATAAAAATTTTTACAGTTGAGTGTTAGAATATGGTATAAAGGGTTATAAATGGATAAGTATTGCGGTTAATTCTATACTCTGCTCATTTTTATTCATTATGTACTTTCACGACTAACAAAACTAATTTGCAGATTAAAAAAACAATTTCGGATTTGGTGATCTATTTATTCACGAATTATTTAGTATAAACCAAGGACCGATCGATCTACTGACAATTATGGATAATTAGTGAAGAAAAGAGGTACACATTTCATAGATTTTTATTTCATATCGACACTTTTCTACCTGTATTAAAAATAGATCACTCAATTGTGATCTCAAGAATAGCATTAAGAAAATAGTAGACATTTAGCATCACTACTTCGAACTGCTAACCGTTTTCTTTATCTTAACCTTTCTTGGCTGTGTCTTTCTTCGTTGCTTATGAGGAACAGCCTTTCGTTCTCTTATCTCAAATGTCTTAGCCGAATCAGATTCTTCAGAAGTCTTGGACGAATAGGAGGAACTCTTATCTTTTTCATTAATCAGCGAGGGAACTATATTATGTATTAAGTCAATCACAGTGTCCTTATCCACACAATCATCTAAATCTTCTAATTCAGTCTTTAGGGACTCTACATCTCTTTTCAGTCTTTTTATCGTCTTTTTTAAGCTGATATACTCAGAATGATAATTATCTAGTTTTTTCGCTAGCACCCCAATTTCCCCAAAAAGTATATTATACACCTTCGAATTTTGCTCATATAACTCAAATATCCGGGCTATTTTCTTTGTACATCTGATAGCTTCTTGCTCAGTAAGTGTATTATCAGATAAATGCTTTTGATCAGTTGTTATTTTCATGATATTTTATATATAATTTATCTTACCTCGAATAAAAAAAATAAAATTTAATAAACAACATCTAACCTACCCTCCTGAGAAAATTTATTTTGAGGAGATATTAGTTTTTATCAGAGAGCTTGAATGCCTTTGCCTGATCATAAAGTTGTCCTTTCTGGCAGAAATTCACTATAGTATAGTTTTGTGCTGGGAAGACATGGTTGTCTGGCGAATGTCGAAGAGCTTGACTAGCAATGGTTATAGCCTCTGATAAATTCTTTACACCATTCGATACAACTGCAAATACTGCTCCTAATTTGCGCAAAGAGCTAGAAAGTAGTGGTTTATGACTTTCTGTTTCAGGAATAAATTTGTCTTTTTTTAGAAATGCACTTAAGTATGTAGATCTAAGCTTTCCAGGTCTTTTAACTGTTCAGAAGAAATTGCTTCCTAAATCCAAGTAAGGAGTTGCTTAGCCCGCTCCTCATTCTTTTCTAGTGATCTAAATACTCGAGGAATATCTTGCTGACCTTGGTTTTTTGCATATCCTGTTACAGCCCATTAGATATATGCAAGTTTTTAATTTTAGCAGAATGAATGCAGAGCATTATCATTATATCGGCTAGGGCTTATTTATCAGGTATATTAGATACATCATATAAATTCAGTCTCTCCTTAACCGATTCTAATGAGAAGTGGTCTGGAAAATCGATCCCTTCATTTTCACGTTGCTCGTTACGCTCTTTTTGGACTTTATTAGATAATCTAGTTACCTCCGGATTTAATGTAACAGAAATTATTTTTTCTGAAGCATTGAGGGTCCGCAATTCTCTTCGAAACCTAGAGAGATAAGATAAGGCAATGACAGCATCAGGTGATGTTTCCTCTAAGATTCTAGATATTGCTTTTACTTCTTTTTCGCTAAGTTTATCTTATATAATACGCTGAGCTATTTCTTTAATAGTCTCCTCAGAACCAGTACTATCTAATACTTGATATATATTTACTTCTTTAGCTTTCAACCCTGGTCCCTCTGGGACCGGTGCTTGACTTTTGCATCGCCCGATTCTCTGGAGAGGAATTAATGCAAATGCCTGCTCTTTGCTAAAGCCATACCCTTTTATAAGACGATTATGAGCCTGGCGCCTTTTTTCTTTATTATCTGTTAAGAGCTCAAGTATTTCTGTCACATATTGGCTAAGCTCTTCGAGACTAATCTCATTGGTGAGTTTGTGGTCTGTGATGAACTTGGTTGTAATAGCAGACATGATAAGGTATGTAGAATATATGTGGTAGTTAGACTAATCCGTAGTATTCAGATTATATACTGTGAAAAAAAAAAGTTTAATTCGAAAAATTTTCTCAGAGCTATGCTTCTTCGGAAAAGAAGCGAAAAATAATAATATAACTTATACTCTGGTCGAGAGTTTTACATTAATTTAAAATTTACAGATAAATATGCAAAAAAAGATACATAGTCACAGAACTGCCATTTCAAAACTATAAATAAATCTTTCTCGAAAGAATATTATAATTATATTTTAGTCAAGTAACCATGTTAGAGCTAATATATGTTCCGGCCCTAAAACATCTGTTTTTGTGAATACATCATATAAAGCACCTGGTCTATACTTTGAAGGGGTTAAATTCGGCTGATGGAGAAATTTCATAAGTACGACATTCCTCCAAGCTTTCGTTTCTTTATGTTTCCAGCATAATTTTGATAATTTAATCAAATTAAAATGGTCCAACTGGACCAGATTCTGAAGTGAGGATCGTTTATTTTTTTCTTGAGTAAATAGACTCATTTCACCCTAACGGCAGATTTCACACTAATGGGGGACTTTCTGCAAATACCTGGTCTAACTAGGATAGATAAGGATGGAATTAAGGTTAGATAGAAAAAGATAAAAATATCACCCCAAATATAGTCTATATAATCCAAAAGTTTATTAGTGTATATGAACCCTTCACGAATCAACTTCTGGAATAGTTTTCTATTTAGATTGATCCTCGGCCGGTTAGTAAATTGAGTACCATTTTTTTACCTTCTATAGATAATATTATTTGTTGTGGCATGTGTTTTTTGTTTATAATATACTTTTTTCACCACAGTTCAATTCGGTTTTTCATAATTTGAAATCAGATTTTTGTAAAGGAATAATGGATCGTCTTACCTGCCCATATATCAAAAAAGATGGGAGCATCTGTAGCTGTGTTTGTACTCGTTTGGCAGGATGCTCGCTCCATTGGAAATCAAGTGTGAATAGTATGTTAAAATCCCTGTGTAGAATCTGTGATAAACTTACATTATCTTATACGGGCTATTGTTCTAAGCATGCCAAAAAAATTTATCGTCGCCTTGAGAGAGAGAGACAACAAGAGACATTGTTGCAAACTAACCAGTAATAATAACTTGCAATTTCAGAGATTTTACTATAAGAAACCATTCTCTTGAAGTATGCTAATACCTTTTTGCTACTCCTCATCGTCATAAACATATGCCCGGAGTTTTTCAACATCCTCGAAGTTACAGAGGTATATTTCTTCACTTATTAGCCTTTCTTTTCTGAACATATAAAATATCTCATTTACGTCTATACCATCTTCTTTCGCAAATTTAATGGCATCTGCATCTGACATCATCCTGTCTCGATATACCTGGGTAATCTAACATCTTTTTCTGTGATGGTTACGAATACGTCTGGGTCCTCATCATGATTGATAGTCTATTTTCTGAGGCGCTTTTCGCACTGGGCCCTGCTCAGAAGTATTGCAGATGATACTTCATTAATAGGCTTGGAAGAATCAGTTTCTTTAGAAAGCGTATCAGGCACCACTCCACTTATAAACTCAATAGGTTTAGAAAGCTTGCTAGTTTCGAGCTAGTCCTTTTAAGACCACTTAATGATTTTTGGCTCAGGTAGATTAGACGTCTTAGAAGTTTTGGAAGTTCCAGATGTTGAAGCAACTAGTGTTTCGGCTTCTTCTACTACATAGTTGAATAGAGCTTGGGTTAGATTTTTCTATTTATCTGCTTTCTTATCACTAGAAAAGAAATTCTTTTCTGCCTGAGGCAGGATTATTTTTGGAGGAATAATTTCTGGCACATTGAATATGGGTATGTCTGCTGTCCCATTTTCAGGTAAGTCAGGTTGAGGTGTATTAGAAAATTCTTCAATATCATCTAGGCCGGATTCACAGAGCTTAGTTATGATTTTGGAGTGATTGAGAATGTATTGCCATTCTCTTTTCCCACCACTTGCCCTCTTGCGTTCGATATTAATCTCTGAGAATTTCTTACCAAGAATGTTGTTAGAAAATGGTTTTTCCCTATTGCCTCCACACCAATCAAAATATTCCTGATATAATATATTGCTACTTAGCTTAGCTACTTTATCTTCAGGCCATGGTGCAATATAATGAATTATAAATCAAATGGGATTAGGTAGTTGGTCTCGCATGGTTTCTATTTTCATTTTAGTTAAAGGAATCTTACATGGCTTCTATCCAGAAAGATTAAGACTAAGCAGATATGATATAAAAGATCTAGATATATCAGGATGCTCAAGAATCCCTCCCAATTGGTCAAAATATGTAAAATTGTTTTTACAGCAGGGAGAGACATCTAAACATACAATACACCCATCTTCCATTTCTACTTGAATTGGGGCATCATGATTACTTAAAATCATAAATCCAGCAAAATGATTACAATCTTGGGATTCAAGGTCTTTATGCTCAATTAAGACATAGTTTTCTGTAATAAGGGCTTTTAAATGATCATTTGCCTTATGCTATTCACCACTAGCTATTCCTGTTTCGTTCATAATAATAAGTTTTTGTGCTTGAATGGGGCTATTAAACCATCCAAGAATCTTCCCTAGATCAGAAGTTGAGAATACAAGGTCTGGCCCGAATAAACTTTTTTAAATAAAATCAGTAATAATATTCTTCTCACATCGTGGTGAGGAGCGTAAAACAAGAATCGTCCCAGGAATTATACTTGGATACTGAACTAGGAATGCAAGCCATTTTAGAACATATTCAGAAAGATTTTTATCTCCATTGTACCAGATATTTTCTATATGCCAGACGATGGGTTTTATGAGATTATAAATAATTTAAAATACCGGTTTGGCCTTGAATCCTAAGAAAAGATTAAAGAATTCGGTTTTTGGTAAATTAATGTTTGGAGAGTATGAGAGAAAATTGATATCATCATAATGTATTACGCCACTTATGAGGGTATGATTGATCAAAGATGTTAATTTTACTGCCTCACCCTAGTTCTATTATATTAATTGTAAAATTTGCAATATCTAGTTTAGGCCCATGTCAAACATAAATCCACCATTCAGATTCCTATGTTTAAAAATCTATGTTATCATTTTCTTCTGAACGCAGATGATCGTTGCTTGAATTGCCTTATAGACAACTATACAAGAGAATTTTTTATCTGAGATACACATACGCAGTAAGTCACCCTATACAAAGTGATCACTAGGATCTGAAATTCTGGATCAGCTTAGTTTTGCAGGACTTGGAAGCTTTTTTTCTCTATCTAAAGCTGTTTCGCTAATGGTAAGCTTTAATGAAGTGTTTTTTGCGCCAGGCTGTTTTTCTTGGTTTGCATGATAACAGAAAAAGCTATAAGATTTTTTATTTTGTATAATATATGCATTATCACTTGTGTGTTTCCGATCATATAATAGGCAATATGATAAAGAAATACGTGATAATAAAAATTTATCAGAGAAATTTTCTGACGGAAATGAGAGATTATAGCTTTCAATATCGGCCTCTTTAAGCAATATCTCTGCCAACTCGAATTCAGCTTTAGTAGTAATATTACTCGTGATAGAGCATTTTCTTCTGCTTATATTTTCTAAAACATCTAAGAGAGAGCTTTCTATGACTTCTGATTCATCATTTGGCTGGCGAATCATAAAGTCAAAGATTGTTCTATCTTTTGGATAGACAGCTTTTTTTACACGAACATGTTCTTTCGTTTCTTCTTT